ATTCATATTTGGTTATCTTTGTCCGATCGGCGATATCGGTGATTAAGAGCTTGCATATGTCGTGATATAGGTTGCTGTCGGTTTTTTGTAAAAAAAAATCACCGATCGAGAATTTTAAACATGTTTAAAAATCCCAATCGGTAATTTTTCACCGATGAAACTTATATTTCCCCAATAGCAGTTGATAGGTGGAAAACAGGTGACCAATAGGTGATATCGGTATTAAATACGTTGTCATCGGTTCACTCCATAATTTGGCTAAAAAAACTACCGATCAATCACCGATGGCTCTGTGTAACTGGGGTGTTAAAAGAAGATCTTTTTTAAAGTTTTTACTATATACATATAAGAAAATTTATCAATGACCCCCGGGTTGGGGCTAATTTTGAACCCAGGGATTCAATTTGAACAAGTTGGTAGACACCTTCTAAAAGATGTTTCATGATTAATATCTAAGCTCTAGCTCTTTCGGAGTTTTTTAAAAGAAGAGTTTTAAGTTTTTACTATATACATTTAAGGAATATAAATTTTGGCCCCAGGGATTTGATTTGAACAATTTGGTAGACACCCACTAGAAGATTCGCTTTCAAGAAGCGGGGATGATTTCCGTGCAACATATCATAATATTAGTGTTTATGAAGAATTCAGTCTACAATTATTTTTACCGTTTGCAAAGATTTTCTACTTATCCAATTATTTTGACCAAATATTCAATGAAAATAAATTTTCAAAGAGATTGGTCAACAAGAAGCATCGTTGCATTATTACAGAAACATGATTTTTTTACCATGCAAAGTGTCAAGATATTAGTTTTTGCAGAGAGTTCGTCAAAAAAAAATTAATACAACAGAACGATAAGGAGAAAATAGGAACTAGGTAGAGTTCGACTTATGAAAGCATGATAGTAATGAACAATTTTGACCGCATGGATTTGATTATAACAATTTGGTAGACACCCACTAGAAGATGTTTCATGCTTAATATCTAAGCTTAGCTGTTTTTTAAGTGTTTATTTATACGTGTAACTAATGACCCCTCCCCCCGGACAAGGACAAGTTTGACCCCAGGGCTTTTATTTGAACAAACTTGGTACATGCCAAATAATGAATATTATTTAAGTAGCAGATCGATAAGGAGAAAGTTGGAACTAGGTAGAGTTGAACTTATGAAAGCATGAAAGTTATAAACAATTCAATATCGGCTCCGTTGACAATCTTATATACTAACTCTTATATAATACAGTTTCATAGTTGGTAAAAGAAGAGTGAATGTTGCGTATGTGTGGACTGGAGTGTGAGATAAGCCCATGTGAGATAAGATTTTGCAACATCGATATTTTGAGTAACAATTTGCAGATTTTCTATCTGGTTAATGAGAAATTTTGTCTCTCAAAACTATTATGTTCTTTCTGTTAAAGGTATTAACCGCAGTTCTCATTTCATCTTTTTTTATAAAAGGATTGCAAAATTTTGATGCACATAAAATGAGATGAAATATTTCCTTGTTTTCTTACAGAAAACTTTGCGTTTCGCTTCAAAACTAATGTTAAAAAGGTTTATGTTGATAATGACTTGGAGTGAAGGCTCATGAAAGGATGATGATTCAGAATAATGCAATATCACTAAAATCTTTAAGATACCGTTTTTTTTTTGTTTTTTTTTGTTGTTGTTGTTGTTGTTTTTTGTGTTAAATTCCTACCAGCTTTTAAATTAAAATGAATATTTCATCTAAAGATACATGAAATTTCAGCAAGGTGTAGTTATTATAGTTTGAAATACTAGAAAATCTATACATTGCAGTGCACATTGCAATTGTTGCAATAGTGGTAACTATAGATGGATTTCTTGGGTGGTTTGGTACACGTAAGTCTAAAAGTAAATACAATAGAAGTAAATATTATAATTTTTGAACTACATTAAAAGAGAAATATAATTTACTAAATATACAGACAATGCGGTAACATACAATGGTAAAAACTGTATGTGCCTTATAGTAATTTGTACTAATTAAACATGCACATTGTTTTTGTATGTGACTTTAATCTTGTGTAGTGAAACATGTGCCAAGCTAGTTGTAATATCAGCAATAAGGAGATAACATATTTTAACATGGTGAATCACCATAGACCTATATCTTTAGTTTTGAAATTTTCGAAAGGCTAACATAGATTGGTCGATTAACTCCAGATATAGTATCAATGTTTTAAAAGGCTTTGACTTTCAAACTGTTTTCGTCAAGGTAACATGCTCCAGAATGAATCATTATACGAATTGTATCAATTAAAGCTCTGTATGGCTTTAAATAAAGTAAATAAATAAAGTAATGTTTATAGCTGCAAATCACAATATTTCGCGGTACTTATTTGGTACATGTTTGACTTTATAAAAGCGGGATACGAATTTTTGCAAGGAAAGGGAAACAATGCGCGAAAAAATAACCTTTTCACACTTACAGAGTTCTCGCCCCGCCAATACATTAATTTTCTGATAATTATGCACACTGATTTTGTTATCTACATATGATTAGCAAAAACATATTTTATTCTAATGTGATTGACATTCGTCATGTAATACATTATTCGGTAAACATACATATATATATTTCTAGGTTAAGAAATAACGTGTCTCACTTTAGCATTATTTGATGTAAATCGACTATAATTTTGTTGTTACAATGTTAATGTCGAATAAATGTTTTAATGTTCATGTTTATGTTCATGTTTATGTTCATGTTTATGTTAATGTTATGTTATGTTATGTTATGTTATGTTATGTTATGTTATGTTATGTTATGTTATGTTATGTTATAAGATATATATATAAATATAAAACACATCCGGGTATTTATTTTTCTTCCTTATCCATTCTTTAAAGATTATTTCATACAAAATAAAATAAACAGACTTAAACTTTAAGGAAATTATTTTAAGATAAATACATAGAATCTTTAAAAAGATAAATACCTTATGAAAATGTGACTGCAAATAAAGTAAAATGTAATAGAAATAGACAGAAACATTATTTTACATAGCTTTGAAGTACCATAAGAATATACATATGAGATATAATCGAATTTTTCCAGGACTGACACGATAGGTACAAAAATATAGACAGAAAAGGGAAAAAAATAATGTTCAATTGCTTAAAAAAATTAAACAACTCGAGTAAATATAAATGCATGTTAGATACCTAAATCCAATGACTTTTAGACATATTAACATAATGGAAACATATGATTTAACGAGAAATATAATTATTCATGCACCGAATATGCATAGAATGGTACACTTGGCACATAGAATGTTTAACTGACCAAACTGATACTGCAGAAATATGGGTTACTCTACAAATAAATCAGTAAATCACCAGTGGTTTAACCATGACGCAGTGCAATGACAACACGAACAAACGAGGAAAGAGAACAAAATACAATAAGGTGTTTTTTATAGGTTATCATATTAATATAACATAATCAGTTATAATTTTTTTTTTAAATGTGACTATCACAACGTTTAAGCGCAATTATGTAACTAGCGATTTATTTTTGGCGCGTCAATAAAAAAAAAATCTATAGACAGTACTGATTTTGGATATGAGATAAATTTAATACATATTATTCATGAAGCTTCTTTGATGTATTGATCTCGATATTGATGTATTGATCTCGTTGAATAAAATAATGTGAAGCTCTCCTGAGTTTGACATAATACATGTAATATGATTTAATTCAACTCGTTCTGAAACTACACTATTGCTAGTCTGGAGTTCCTTCCCTTTATACTTTCCGTAGTAAATGCAGGCAGGGAACCAGACTATCCTCCGTCTGGAGTTCCTTCCCCTTATACTTTCCGTAGTAAATGTAGGCAGGGAACCAGACTATCATCCGTCTGTTTTAAGTTTATTGCAACAAAGGTCACATAAATAAAAGACTGTTACTCTTCTTCTAATTAGAATGGCATGCAAGTTAGTGGAAAATCGTCTTGTTTTGAAATGTTGACCGACTTTTAAATACATGTCAAGATGAAGATTGTAAAGCCTGTACTTTTAAACCTACAAAAAGAAAACTTCCTTAGTGAGTTTCACAAAAACGGAAGGCTATTCAGACTAATATTTGAAAACCTTTTCAATGTAAATGGTTGAATATGATATAAATCAAAACATTCAATGTAAATCCACGACAAACGTAAATTGTTGTCATGGTTATTGAATTAAAACAACATAGCGTGTTCGGTGAAATATACAAAATTTAGCAATGACATAAAAGCGGACAATGGACGCCACTAAAGGAGTGTAGGTATGACACAATTTGGAATATAGAGTATCAATTTATATGAAATGAGAAAATGAAGAAATATTTGTATAACACTATAAGAATAGCCTATATTTTAAATGCAGACTTTGATAATAACGTATATATGCCGTAAGTATATATATAGCGGACATACCCTTATCTAAATATACAAAGACATTTCGGTAAAAATATTAAATGTAAGCATTTTAAATTTAATTATACCAATTATTTTATGGTATACCACTGATTTTACGGCACACCATTTATTTAATAGTATACCATTGATTTTATGGCACACCATTGCTTTTTTGGTTCATCATTCATTTATTGGTACATCATTGGTTAAATTATATACCATTGATTTAAGGGTATATAACAATGATTTTATGGTATACCATTTAATTCATTATATATCATTGTTTTATGGTATAATGGTTTTATGGAACGCCATTGATTTTTGGTAAATCATTGATTTTATGGTAAACTATTGGTTTTATAGTATACCATTTTTTTTATGGTACTACATTGATTTTCGGTATAGCATTGATTTTATGGCATACCATTGATTTGATGGTATATTATTGATTTTTTGTATATCATTGGTTTTATGGTACACCATTGATTTTATGGCATACCATTGATGATAAATATCATTGATAGCAAATACCATTGATAACAAATGGGGTTTTCATAAATAATGGAGGGACTTTTTAAAATGAAAGTACACCTTTTAAAATGCATTTAATGAGTTAAAAACTATGAAATAGAATAATTATGTGTAGTCAAATATGTCAATGAAATAAAAATAAACCAAATAGTATAACATTGCTTTATGATTCAAACATATTCAAAAAAGGCATTGCACAGTTGAACTAATGCATTTACTCAAAATAATACTTTACATGCATTTATATTTAATACAATATATAGCAAATACTGTTCATTTTCTTACAAAATTATACTTTCATTCTTCTATTTACTCACACTGCTACTCTTCATTATGATTCTGCCGACACTGTTTGAATTAAAGCTATTACATTTTACAGACTTATTTTACCAAAACATATTTTATATTACATAAATAAATATATAAACATATCGAAATACAAATGAATAAACATATATTTTGTAATAATAAACTGTGTTTTATTAAATGCACGTGTTTCAAAGGTAAACATTAGCAATTAATGTAGAACATAATTATATGCATACATAATTATATGACATATATTGCACTTTGAAAATGTCAGTTTATTCAGAGACATAGATATTATCTATGTCTCTGGTTTATTTAATCAATACGCTGTCAGTGATTGCATTGATTTATTATGTGTTTGCCAGAATTAGTAGAATATACATGTATGGAGTGGAAAAAACATACGAAAGTCTTTGCAACTATACAGAACTCCGGAAGAAAATTTACAAAATGAAGAAAAAAATGACATATTTACAAACTTACACTACAAATATGAAACGTTCGACAGATTATCAACTTTTAGAACACTGAATACTCGTTTTGAACCTACATTAAATTGAGAGAAATAATATCTTTGAACTCAGAAAATAAAATTTTGTCGCTACATTCTTTGTTTGTTTTGTTGTTGTTGTTGGTGGTGTTTTTTTGTTGTTGTTGTTTTTTGTTTAGCTGATGTTGGTAGTGTTTTATTTTATTCATTTATTTTTTTATTATTTATTTTTGTTGTTGTTGTTGTTTTTGCGCTAATATTTCTGCTACTTGCTGTTGCTGCTGCTTTTATTTGTTGTTTTTCATATTTTGATGAAACTGTATGAAAAGAATATATTATAAATACAGCAGAATTTTGACTTCATATCATTTATTCAAATTCTTTCACAATATATTTAAATAAATAATGTGTTTTGTACGTTTTCTTTCAATTTTTTAATATCAACTTCCTGATCAAGTGCAGTATTGATAAATCATTTAAGCTTGTTTAATAAGTTTAGTGTCAGATAACCGTTTATATAGACTCAGCAAATATTTACACGTTTAATAGTACAATTTATTTTTATAACTTCCGGTAAGCCGCAAGGTTAGCAAATTGTTCATTTTTCTTATGAATTTATATTTATTTTTATTCATTTATTTATTTAATTATTTATTTATTTATTTTATTTATACGTTCGTTCATGCGTTCGTGCGTGCATTCGTTCGTTCGTTCGTTCGTTCATTCCTTCATTCATTCATTCATTCATTCATTCATTCATTCATTCATTCATTCATTCATTTATTTATTTATTTATTTATTTATTTATTTATTTATTTATTTATTTTTGTCATGGTTTACCGCAGGGTTCACAAATCTCAATATTATCTGGTAGTTGACAAAATTTGAAACCGTCGTTCCAAACTTTACATCAGGTTGCATTTAAATCTTTAAATCTTTAGAAAAAGCAGCATGCCTCCAGATTCATGCTGATTTTCATGAAAATTTTGAAAATATTTGTAAAAGTTAAATATTGAGAGTAGACAAAGAAAGTATTTTGTACTTTGCAACGGCACTTATAATCCACGTAAATTACCAAAAAGCGGTCACAATATGCAAAAATAGCCCTTACTGCGTTAGTCACGCAATATAAATACGGTGAAAGATGCTGCGAAATCAGTCTTTTAATTGCACATAACATGTAAATTATAAGTTGAATCTTGAATCGTTTTCCTTTTCTTAAAATCTAAGTACATGTTTCTCAAGTTTGATTTTTTTAAAAGTAATTTGGCTCTTCTAGAAACAATGCAGCTTTAAATAAAAACACATCCTAAAGATTATAATAAATTTCCTGTACATTGATCGTGGAATGTCGTAACAAAAGGTTAATTTTGAATAATACACGTTTAACTTACAGGTATTTGATAGCGTGCGTACAAGTCAACTATCATTCCAAAACGTTTTAGAATAGAAAAACGTAAACATGAATGAAAACATGAAATTATCATTCATGTAATTAGTTAATCGTATCAGTTATTACCAAACATGTTCATAAAAGCATGGTTGATTATCAAACATGTTCATAAAAGCATGGTTGATTACCAAACATGTTCATAAAAGCATGGTTGATTACCAAACATGTTCATAAAAGCATGGTTGATTACCAAAACATGTTCATAAAAGCATGGTTGATTACCAAAACATGTTCACAAAAGCATGGTTGATTACCAAAACATGTTCATAAAAGCATGGTTGATTACCAAAACATGTTCATAAAAGCATGGTTGATTACCAAACATGTTCATAAAAGCATGGTTGATTACCAAAACATGTTCATAAAAGCATGGTTGATTACCAAAACATGTTCATAAAAGCATGGTTGATTACCAAACATTTTCACAAAAGCACGGTTGATTACCAAAACATGTTCATAAAAGCATGGTTGATTACCAAAACATGTTCATAAAAGCACGGTTGATAACCAAACATGCTCATAATAGTATGATTAATCACCAAAACATGTTCATAAAAGTACTGTTGATAACCAAACATGCTCATAATAGTATGATTAATCACCAAAACATGTTCATAAAAGTACTGTTGATAACCAAACATGCTCATAATAGTATGATTAATCACCAAAATATGTTCATAAAAGTACTGTTGATAACCAAACATGATCATAATAGTATGATTAATCACCAAAACATGTTCATAAAAGCATGGTTGATTAACAAACATATTCATCTTAAATTGCTTGATAACCAAACATGTTAATTTTAAAAGGCTTGATTACTGAACTTGTTCATTTTTTAATGCTTGATTACAATATATACTCATAAAAGAATACTTGATTGCAAAACATGTTCATTTCAAAATGTTCGATTTCAAAAAAGTATGTTCATTTCAGAATGCTTGATTACCAAACAAATTAATTTTAGAATGCTTGATTACCAACCATGTTCATTTTAGAATGGTTGTTTAAGGTTATCCTCTTCAGATGGGGGTTTAGAGAGATTATTGATCTTTTCAACAGGTACTCCAAAATTGTCTGACACACTCGGTTCTTCAGGTGTTGAATTCGGAAGATCTTTTGTGGGGTTGTCGGGATCTTCAGTGGCAAGTGATGTAGATGATGTGGGTGGAGTCTTGAGGTAAAAGGACGGCATTGTCGTGTCCTTTGTAGTATGATTATCTGTTAAGGGACTGGGTCCATTGGAGTTTGAAGGTATTTTTCTAGCAGTTTCCTCTTTGGAAAGTGACGAATCGGATTTTATCTTGACATCAGATTGTCTCTGGCATTTGATAAAAAAAAATATTTGAAATTTTTGAGAATATTGCTGACTGAAATTGCGTATATCCATAGGAGAATTTCAATTTCGTTTGAATGATGTTGTTTCAGAGTGTCATAAAAGTATGTTTGTTTTTTATATTTTTTTTTCATACAACAATTGTCACACTATATGCCTGACCTTACAATAGAACAAATATATAGAAACAACTTCAAAATACAACAGTGTTATTATCCGTCGTTGAATGCGCTGTGCGCTGTTTGCTATTATTAATTTGCATATATTTTGGCAGACATGAAATAAAAATTTAGTGATATTATTACAGTGGTAAAACTACTCACACTTGAAGAAGTATCCGATATCTTACTTCCCTGTGCAACTGTAATAAACAATGATAGTGTTTTCAAATAAATAAATAAATGAATAAATAAATAAATAAACAGTACAATTAGTATAGGTATAGTGCATAAGTATTATGTATGGAAGTAAAAATACTACTTTGTTTACATTTTGCTACTTTAACGACACAGTACTGCACGTTCAACACTACTTTTTCAGTTCATGCTTTTTTTACCATTATTTAAACATTGTTATACACATGCTTGAAATTTCTAAAGAAATAAAAAATATGGATTTCTGAGGCATAATGTGCCTTTAATAGTATGACGTCCAATATTTCAATCAAGGTGTACTTACTTGATTTAGATCCGTAACCACTATCTCCTGCAAAATGAATGTTAAATAAATAAATTAATTAAAGTTATATCATAATAGCATGTCAAGTTTGTATACATAGCAATACCTGTAATTAAAGATAACATTTTCATATTGATGTGAAATACAATTATACGTATTCAGATTCCCGTTCTTGTATGCCTTTTGAATTCAGCGCATGTATATAATTGAATAAATGGGACGGTTTTATTGTGCGATTTTTTGAAAAAGCAAATTGGTATGTAATATTGTTCAAGAATACATTTTTTTGCTCAGCATTTGATTTTATTATAGTAAACCAAAGGTGCTAGTGGCATTGATTTGACCTAAATTGTGTTTAACCTTGTTATATATGCACTAAAACATCAATATTTTTTTTTTAATATTTTTTTTCACTGTTATATTATTTTAGTATAAAAATAGTTATAATAATATAACAGTGAAAAAAAAATATTTTTTTTTTATTTTTTTTTTAAATATATTTGATGTTTTTAGTGCAATAAATATAACATGAACTAAGCGTTTTAAACACATTTTCAATGCACAAAAACCTTTGACAATTAATTAAAAAACGTTATTCTCTAGTTCTGCCTATTTATCATGATATTAAAAAGGGACGCCCACTGACTGAGGTATTTTATGGGACGGAGTTGGGAAAATATTGTTTTTTTTAATGTGTATAATCATATGATGACGGTATGTCAAATAGCTGTTTTATGGACATTTTTCAAGGCTAATTCGCACCAAACTTGGTTTTCACCGATTCAATCACATTTTTCATTTGTGCAGAAAAGTCCCCAAAATTGAATAAAGCGTTTATACACATTTATAAACTCAAATAATGGATAAACAGAAAAATCGTTTGCACGAAACTTGAAAATGTGGATTAATACAATAATCAAATAAATGTGACGCTTATCATTGATATAAATCTTGAAAATGTGAGAGGTCAAATATAGGTAAAATTGTTATAAACACTACTTATATATCCGCACGAAAGGAATGTAATCGTCGATTGTTTCGCGCTTTTTTTTTCTCTCTCTCTTTTTTTTGCACGATCAAAAAGTGGTAAAATATCGGAACATAAGAAAGTTACTGACTTACGTGCTCTTCCTCTAGGAAAACGCAGTTCAACTGTATTGAAACCATAAGCCTTTCAAGAGAAAAATAATATGAGCCACGTCATGACAAAACCAACATAATGGGTTTGCGACCAGCATGGATCAAGACCAGCCTGCGCATCCGCGCAGTCTGATCAAGATCCATGCTGTTCGCTACCAGTTTCTCTACTTGTAATATGGTTTGTAATCGAACAGCACTCCGATCCCTGATCAGACTGGCGCGGAATTTTGCGCAGGCTGGTCTGGTTTCCATGCTGGTCCGCAAAACCCATTTATGTTGGTTTTGTCATGACGCGGCTCATATTATATTAAAAGATAATTATGATATGTAATAAAGCCATACATAAGTAACAGTATACGTGTAGTATTTTTCTTTGGAGAATAGAAACTCGGATCTCCCGTCACAAATATGACATGGTATAAATAGTTGATATAACTATTCCTCAGTCATTCTTGTTGTCATCGTCAATTGTTGATGCTATTGTTGTTGATGAGTATGGGTGGTGGTGGTTGTTGTTGTTGAAGTTGTTGGTGTTATTGGTGTTATTGGTGGTGATGGTATTAGTTGTGGTGGTGATGGCAGTTGTTCTTTCTTTTAAAAGTATATTGGTAATTGATACTGTCATGCCTCCATATTCATACAAATTTTCATAAAAAATGTATTACAAAGTAAAAAAAAGTATTGTGAAGCGGCATTGCAAACGGACTTACAATCCATGTAAATTATCAAGGGGCCCAAAATATGTAAAAATAACCCTTACTGCGTGAGTAACGTAGTAAAAATATGGTGGTTAAACTGCAAAATAGTTCATTAATGGCACATAACACGTAAATTATTACTTTAATTGTGTAGATCTATATTTTTTATCTGTTTTTAAATATCTTTATATAAGGATCAAACCTTTGGTGGTAGTGTATGTGAGATGTTTATAAGAACGGAATATATCAATAAAAATGCGTTAATAGCTGTATTACACAATAATTTCGCTGTTTAAAGATTTTATGCAAAATGCGTGTTTAGATTTAGCGTTAGACCCTTCAAGGAGCTTTATATGACATAAAGTCTCTGCATCATTTAAAACATTGAAGCTGCATAATAAAGATCTTATTCGGAACAAGAGAATGTGGGGTTTTCCAAATCTTAATAACCTTTACAGTAATAGCTTCACGGTGCACTACCACATGTACACAATACAGTAATGAACGTTTTTGCGCATATTGTTCATATAAGATGAAAAAAAAAAGATTATTTACCATGTTGTTCCTTTAAAAGATTTTTTGAACTCTTAGTTCCCCCAAAAAAGTCTTCATTCTCGACAAGTTCTATACGCCTGGCAGGGATTGTACTAGTAGCTTCTTGTACTAACAAGGTTCGAGCCTTATTTGGGTCATGGCCGTTGTCCTCACCGGATATAATAAAAGCGGACTTTGGCTTTAAACTTTAATCGCAACTAATCAAAAATAAATAGACTTAAACTAAACTTTACAAACCTCCTGCGCATCATTTTGAAATTTCTCTGATTTATCTCCCAAATCTTTTAGCTGTATAGTCAAATAAATGAGTTCCTGTCTTTGAAATTCGTCCACCTTTCTAGGCCGTCCATCTACTCCATCAACTAGTTGACCCATCAATGCTTCAACGGATTGATTAGCATGTTGAACGCTTGAAGTTGTGTCGGAAATGGCCTCCCCGAAGTTTTGCTTAGAGTCGGAGTGAGATGCCATGTTTCTTTAAGTGTCATTCAATTAATTATAATCATAACACTGTATTAGATTTGTTCCTTTACCGAAATATTTGTCTATATTTTTATCTCAGCGTTCTACTCTTCAAATCTAATCAATATTTTTTTTTTAATATGAAACACGGTTTATAATCCTATATTGTAATATCATATATTACTTACAGTTTTCTATCTAAAATTTTTTCACTTATTTTAGCCCATCTACTTCTTACAAAAACCACTGAACATCCAGGTATCAAAATAAACATAGAAATAATTATATTTTATTATAAATAAAATTTTGAAATAGATTTCAATTTCTGAATCACTTTGATAAAAATGACGTGAATATATCTGAACTACTTTTTTTCCACTTCCTTGTAGTCATGTGCACTTTGGTTTGTCATACCCGAAAAATATATATCATACAAGGAAGATTTGATTGACAATGTTTTCTTTCTTATGTAGATGCATGAAAAGCGACATAGTTTATAAATATGAGTCGTGTCATGACAAAAACAACATAATGGGTTTGCGACCAGCATGGATCCAGTTCAGCCTGCGCATCCGCGCAGTCTGATCAGGATCCATGCTGTTCGCTATCAGTTTCTCTATTTGTTATAGAGTTTGTAAGCGAACAACATGGATCCTGATCAGGACTGCGCGGATGTGCAGGCTGGTCTGGATCCATGCTGGTCGCAAACCCATTATGTTGGTTTTGTTCATGACACGGCTCAATTATGACAAAAATTGACGAATTGAAAAGTATTATATATACAGTACAGCGTACATTGTAAAAAAACACACAAAATACAAACAAACAAACCACACTGACAAAATGATGTTACATGTACTTGAATTGCGTGTATGGTATTCAGGGGTATTTTACCCAGTTCTTAATATAAAAAGGTTTAAAATAAAAAAACGAAAATATACATGACAAAAGCAGTTGCATAAAATTGGTACAAAATTGATATTAAAAAGACCCAACTACGATTTAAAGTCAATTTGTCTACAATTGGTAAATTTTCAATAAGTACTGATGAAAAAAAACAAAAGTAAAATGTATCATTTTAACATTTTTATGAAATATTTCTTGGAAAAAACATGTTGATAAAGTTTCTAAGTGATTTGATATAAACATTTGATATGATGAATAATATTTTGTTCTGGAATAATTTATCACCTGATATATAGAAGAAATTCGAGATAATTCTATAAATACGGGATTTATTTCATCAAGTGGTATGAAAATATAGATATTTCATGGGTCAATATTTCTCACTAGCATATATTAAAAGTAGATATGCCATATTGAATCCTTTATCTTACTTACCAACAATATCCATATGAGCCGCGTCACGACAAAACCATTGAATGGTATCAACATTAGTATGAAAAAGGCGAAACGTCGAAGCGAGCTCGATTTCCTTTTACCGTGAAATAGTATGAAATAAACCACGGTGCATATCCATATCGGTACCCTCTTTGCGAAATCTGCTGAAACGGTACCCTCCTTGCGTATGCACAGGCCACTCTCTGCTAAAAACAAACCAGCGATGGATAACAATCCAGTAAAATTTAAATATAATATGGAAAGAAGGTATGTCACGTAGAAAAGATGTATACCACGGAACAGTAGAATGCTTTATCTATGTGCTGATTTGTCATGTGCCCGTTTTTCATGTACTACAACTTCACAATAAGCTATAAAAATCGACATGTCTTGCTTCGCCCATCACTTCGACATATTTTTCGGACTGAAATGAACATGTGGCTTGATTATATATGCATCATACAAATTTAGTATGTTCATTTACATATCATCTCCGGACAAATGTCCTTAACCTATAGCTCTTCAGCGCTTCTTATGTATAATTCTTCCAAGTATAATTTCCAACAACCGTAAATTATACCATACCCATACTATGGTATAATTTTCAGTTTTGAAGATCGAAGGAGTACGTGTTTCTGGGCGGAGCTATAGGTTAAAACAGATACACCATTGGTCCGTTGACGAATTCTGGGTTTGCGTAAATTATACCATAATAATAAGAAAGGTCACGTGATTATGGTATAATTTACGCAAACCCAGAATTCGTCAACGCAGCAATGGTATATCTATTACTTACATTGTCAAAAATAATGGTAAAATTCATAAAAACACCCTACTTTCGGTTTTGCAGCGACACGGGCTACCTCTCTTCATTTGAATTTTTATATCACAGGCACCCTCTCATATTTTTTACAAATAGGAACCCTCAAGGCACAATATATGCTTTTATTTGCGTTAATCGTAAGGTATGTAATATTTCTTACTTTTATGCATACTAAACGATTAACGCAATCAAAAGCATATGTCGTGCGTTGAGAGTACCTATGTGTTAAAAAATGAGATGGTACCTGTGATATAAAAATTCAAACGAAGAGAGGTATCCCGTGCCGCTGCAAAACCGAAAGTAGGGTGTTTTTTATAAATTTTACAATTATTTTTGACAATGTAATGACATTTGTCCGAAGATAATATGTATATGAACATACTAAATATGTATGATGCATGTATAATCAAGCCACAGGTTCATTTCAGCCCGAAATGTATGTCAAAGTGATTGGCGAAGCAAGACATGTTGATTTTTTGTAGCTTATTGTGAGGTTGTAGTGCATGAAAAAACGGGCACATGACAAATCAGCACATAGATAAAACATTCTAGTGTTCCGTGGTATACATCCTTTCCACGTGTCATACCTCCTTTCCTTATAACAATGAATTTTTACTGGCTTGTTATCCATCGCTGGTTTGTTTTGAGCAGAGAATGACCTGTGCATGTACAAAGAGGGTGCCGTTTCAGCAGATTTCGCAAAGAGGGTACCGATATGGATATGAACCGTGTAAACGTTCAATTTTCATTTTACATTTCCTTTTTGTATACATTGCTTGCAATGTATACAGAGTTATAGCTGTATTTCAGATTTAGTACACCTAACCTGTTTTGCTGAACAACATCCACCTTTGGATGAAACCTCGATAAAAGTAGATCCTCATTTTGCAGGATTGTCACATTAAGATCACTTTTATATAATATATCTGTTTTGCATAGTGGTCAATAAGCTTGAAAGTTCAAAACTATGCACTTTCAGTTTAAATAAACATTTTTCTAAACATGAAAGCAAAAAATATGAAAATTTCTATTTCATTCATAAAAGCATTGTGTAAACCTACGCTTCAAAACTTCGTATCCACGCATGCGCGTGCAAGAATGAATGAATTACGACAGACTCTGCATAAAAATATGTCAACATCCAAAATTAATATTAAATCAAACAAGTAAACCTTATTTACTTTTAAATATAGACTTGCAATACTTTTTCTATTTCAAACTGTTTTAGAAAACGAGCATATACAGATATATATGTTTATTTAGTGTTATGTAACATTGTAAGCGTCTGTATGAATGGATTAAACTTTACGTTCTGAAAACGTATTGTCATATAATTGCATATAATACAACCCTATCAACGTGGTGGCATCGGAGGAGTATGCAATTATTTGTTTCACACCTGCAGTGTGAAGTATTTCTGCCACTTTAGTGAAATATATCGTCCAAAAGCCATTTTCGGGAAAGGGGAGATTCGTACTCAATATTATTCGAACTAAGGATTTGAACTCAATATTATTCGAATTTAGCCTTCGTAATCGGTATTATTCGAACTGACAATCATTGCAGATACGTTTAGACCCCCTGGACATTTAGATGTTGAAAATGGTAACATATCACATAACTTTATTAAATGGAAGCGCCAATGGAAATTTACTTTACCAGTGTTGACTGCCAGTGGAAATGCTGAGAAAGATGAAAAGATACAAGTAATAAAATATCCTATTACACTGTGCTGGACCTAAAGTTATCAATTTACATGGGCAAATGCAGACCATAAACTGAAAGTGAAAAAAATATTTGACAATCCTAGAAAAAATGAAGTGCTAGAATCACACAGATTTTGGGTAACAAATCCAGATGAATATTCATCATTTGACAGTTTTCTTAAAGAGTTTTGAAAGCATGTTGAGTCTAGAAATAAATTTTAAAATATGTTATTTACAATCAAATCACTCAGTCAGACTGAGCCACCCTTAACATTTTTTTCCATAACTCCTTAGACTATTGATATATATAAGGTAAAATTATTAGCCATATATGAGCTTATGATTGCATGGGCAGTTAAATTAAAGCCATTAGTAAAAAAAAAAGGGTTGACCTGGGATAACCAAAGTGAAGAGTGAAATATGACACTCAACACAGGAATATTCTAAATATTTAGATTGATGTTTATGATCAGATTTAGCACAAATAGTAATTTAATTTCCCCTGATACCACAAATATGAATTTATTTAGAGTCCTGAAGATCTTTTTATGATGAAATCTTAACTGAAAAACCAGGTTTAACTGAACAATTATAAAATTCCTTGCCACAATAACTAAAAGGTTCATAAAGCCAGTCAAAAAAATATATTTCTATCCATATTCATTTCAAGATGAAACCCATAAGAAATTGCCATGTCTGACAGACAGCAAAATTATAAAATTCTGCAGGCTCAGTTTAATTAGGCCCATTAGGAGGTAGTGGTAACAACTGTGGGTCAAAAATGAAATGATATCATTTTCAAGGGATGCTTCTGATATGATTTACTTTAAATAATGGGTCATTATCAATGAATGTTTCTTTGACTTCTATGCCCATGTGTAATAGATTATTGACATTGCCAGCTAGATAGCTCAGCTGAGTGAGTCAGTACAGCCCACATAACATATATAATATTCTGATTCAGGTTTTGATTCCGGTCAAACTGCACATTTTTCTCATCCTGTGATATTTTTCACCTGTTACTTTTAGGGTCCAATATATGTTTATGATGGTACATAACTGAATCATAAAGTCAATTCACTTTGTTACTTAAGTGTGCCATGAAAAAGGAAAAATTTCAATGTGCTGTGGATTATGTCAATGCATAGAACTATG